TATGGTTTTGCCAGACAGAGCTTTTTTTATATTCTGTCCTGAATTAAAAACAGTTCGACAATGAACACTTAGAAACTCCAGAGAGAGGATTCGTATGTATGATGAGGATGAGACGTTAGAGTTGATGTTAAAGGGCTTATCAAATCAGTAAGGTTATGCGTGAATGTGTTTTAGTAGTATCGCTTGATAAACCGAGTATTTGTACGCTAAACCCGTTCTCTTTACATATTTGGATCCGATTTACACAGCTCTAGTCCAAGCTGCGACTGAATTCATTTTGCAGTATCTACGGAGGTTTCGTGAGCCTACAGTTTCCTTTCCTTGATTTGGGAGAGGGAAAAGTGAGGGAAAATCGCACATATACCGCCTCATAGGATTAAGTAGGCGAGGCAATTTTCGGGGCTAAATTCGAGAGAAAGGGGTGAAACAGGGGTGGTATGGGAAGTAATTTGATATATTTGAATGATCTTGGCCGTGTATACTCATACCTTGAGATTTTCCAGTAAATGATTTTAATCAGATTGCTGGAAAATTCCAGCGCTCTCTGCCAATCCTGAAATTTTTTGTTATGCAGCTCATAAATTAGAATTGGCCTGTTTAGTTCTCGAAAGTGGTCGGCCCGGCTCTCACTAATAGCGACATGCATCGATACTTTTACCGTCTATTTAAACCACAGAAGGCTGTGCCCATCTGTGTTTCATGGCTTTTGTTGCACAAATTGCCTTGCATTTAGCATATAGCAAATACGTAATACATAAAGCAGCATTCGCCTGCTATCTGTTCTTTTTTTTGGTTGCACTGTCAACTATCACATCATTCTCTAAGAATCCCACAACAGCATCATGGGCTTACATTTTCGCGGCTGCTAGCAGCTGAAATCCCTGTATCATATTTTATTATGGTTCCAGGGTTAAGCAATTTAGCCATGATAAGGTCGAACCTTTGTCTCATGGGGCAAGAGCATCTCAGGTAACTGTACTACTGTGTAGTTATAATCAAAAAATAAAGTACGAGTGCGTACTGGAGATCCTGCATAACAGTTGGAAGCTAGTAGCCCAGGATAAAAGCAAGCGTGGTTGCAGTCCGAGCTATGACTGCATCTGACATATCGCCTTTCCCATATCAGCAGTCTGGTGAGACGTGATGGTACGGATTCATCCACTTTATAGGCGCACAGAACGACTTCATCAGTGACTGAAGATTATCACAGATTTGCAGAAACAACCGTTTTGTTATCAGTGAGAAAACTATAAATCTGTTGCAGCAAAACCTCGATTTTTGATCACCAGTGAAGCGGACTCAGATACGCCACCCAGTGCACCACGTCATTTGACACGTATGACTGCGGAGCCCGATTCACAAGAAAGTATGTTTCACAATGTGCTTTTGGATTTATTAGTTATAAAATAAGGAAGAGCTTGAGAGTCTCTATGTATCCCAGAGTTGTTCGAGGCTTTTGATGGGCAGTTATTATTTGAAAGGATAATGTGTCTTACCAGTTGTTTTCAGTGCATGAACCGGACAGTGTGAAGTGGTCATTTTCAAATGTGCTTCCACCTGGTGACGCAGACATTGGTAAATGATATTTAAGATTTACAAAACACCACTGTTTTAAAGACTGTACTTGTTTACAGTTTGAGGCTAAAGATAGGCTTTGAAAAATGCGATTTAAAATTTTATGTAGAGAATGATAACAGCGGATGAGAATGAGCGCTAAATTTGATTTGACATGACCTTTTCCGTGAAGCTTTGAACACTGTAGCCATAGTGAGGATCGTCGATTTGAAGTTTCTGTTGTTATTGCGTTGCAGTCACGTGCTCATCGGAAAATCCTGCCGTAAGTCACACTGATTTCCAGTTGTTGTCCGTCATGTATATAAACCACAGTGATCCTGCATCACCGTTTTGTACAAGTTCTCTTTTTCTGCGTGCTGGTTAGACCCGGAAAACCACAAGAATTTATTCAATAATAACCAAATAATTGGCCAACGCACGGGCTGCCCGTGCGAAGATGCGTTTTTTGCATAGTTTCCGCAGTTTTTGTTCCTATCGGCACCGCCTTTTTCAGCAAATGCTTCTGGCTAAATAAATTAAGACTGCCCGCCAGAACTCTCAGAAAACACCCCCTTAAAATTTTAGCTTTCTAGCTTTCCTGGCTCCTGAGTTAGCAACTTACTGGAGAAAAATTTTCATGGGCCCGTGCGTGTTTACCGTGCATACCCGAGAGCTAGGTTTGAGCTGACTGAAACTTAGGTTGACGGGGTATATCCTCTTAAAATTACAGCCCTTTAGCTTCTGAGGTACTCGAGCTATCAACTTGCTCGAAAAAAATTTTGGCGGGCCCGTACGCGCGTACCACGCTTACCCTGGGGCTGGGTTTGAGCTCAGTAATACCCACTTGGACGAGGAACATCCTCCTAAGATTTCAGCTTTCTAGCTTCTCAGATCCCGAGTTATGAACTTACCCGAAAAAATTTTGACGGGCCCGTACGGTACCACGCGCGTATTGGCGCA